ATTTATTAACAGAACTTCCCTGCTGGTGCAGTGGGTAGGAATCCACCTGCCAACATGGGGGACACAGGTTTGATCCCTGGTCTGGGAAAATCCCACATGCCACGGAGCAACTAAGCCTGTGCACCAAAACTGCTGAGCCCGTGCCCTAGAGCCCGCAAGCCACAATTACTGAGCCTGCGTGCTGCAACTACCGGAGCCCATTCACCTAGAGCTTGTGCTCCACAGCAAGAGACGCCACCACAGTGAGAAGCCCTAGCACCACAAGGAGGAGCAGTCCCAACTCAGTGCAACTAGAGAAAGCCCACGGACAGCAACAAAGGCCCAGCCCAGCCAAAGTAATAATAATAATAAAATTATTAAGGATTGTATAATGGCAGCTGCAGGCAGGACACTGAACCAACCCCGTGCCCTTCTGAGCATGGGGCCCTGTGTGACCGCACCCCCTTGACTCTCCTCCACCTGTTTGCGTCTTTTCCCACCCGTGTGGTGAGGGGCAGGGAAGTTAGATAGGAGGCGCCTGTGTTCTGTGTCCCTGGCCACTGCAGCTTTTTCCTGTGGACAGAGGCTCGGGTCCTCCGCAGTCTTGGCCTGTCTCGCCAACCCCCCATCTTATGAGAAAGCTCCCACAGTACCTTAACATGCCATGAGCTTTCTGGGGTTGCCTAAGCCTCTTAGGGGGCTTCCCTGGTGGCTCAGCAATAAAGAATCCACCTGCCAGTGCAGAAGACGCAGGTTTGATCCCTGAGTCAGGAAGATCCCCTGGAGGAGGAAATGGCAACCCACTCCAGTATTCTTGCCTGGGAAATCCCATGGACAGGAGCCTGTCCGGCTATAGTCCCGTGAAGTTGCAATGAGTCAGATACGACGCAGCGACTTAAAGACAACAGTAACAAACCTCTTAGGGTCCAGGTCTATTGAAGACTACCTGAGGTTTTAGGTCAATCAAAGGTGAAGAAATTTTTTTTTTGATGGACAAAGAGGACTTGACAAGCACTATCTTTCTTTGGGCGGAGTGTGCAGCTTTGGGGAGATCAGTCCCATACAGTGTCATTCATGAGCTCTACAACGTCAAGGTGACCTGAGTGGTGACCTGCTGAAGCATGCAGGTCTTGCTGGACTCTGATGGCTGCACTTGGGGGTGGCAGGTCTGGCAATCATCCCTGGTCTAATCTGGGAACTTCTAGCTGGCTTCTGGGGACTTGAAGTAGCCTCGGAATCTTGCGGGGTTCACAGAAGTTTCCCAGGAACCGGTGGGTTGATGGAGCACATGGCTGGACATGCGTCCACGTGTACACAGGTGTGTGTCTGCATCCTGGTGAGGTTTCAGCTCTGTGTACCAGGCGGCTATTTAAAAAGAGCTGTCAGGCTCTCACTGGCTCCCCTGCAAGGAGCAGCCTTTGCCTGCCTGTCTTGGGACCACGGACCTTGTCAGTACATGCCTGCCCGGCGCCCTTTGTCTCTGCTGCTGAGAAGGAGAAGCCTGGGTACCCAAGTCCTGGAGCTCACACCCCACCCTCGGCTCTCCCTGCTAAGAGTGGAAACCTGCTTCTTAGGGAAGCTTCTAGATTCTGGACCTCGGGTGAACTTCAGGATGAGATGTGTCCTAAAAGCCACAGCAGCTGTGTTGATGAGGGGGGATCGGCTTTCTGTAAGATGGGGGGACAGGCTGGGGGTGGGAATCCCAGAGGCAGAAGTTGTGCCGCGGTCTGATCAGAGGAGGGAGCGAGGGCCTGAGTTTCCAAGGACTGATTAGATGGCATGCCAAGTGTATTAAATTTTGCAGACATTTTAACAGCAATATGCTAGATAGTTGGGTGTCCCCTGAGGCGGCTGGATTTTTTATATCCTTCACAGAAGGTCGGAACCCTCTTCTGCCTGCCCCCCCCCAACTCCCTCCACCCCAGGCTCCGTGATTCTCTCTCTCTTTCACCCTCCCTTTCTTCAACAATTTTCCTTGCTTCTTGCTCTCTGCTCATAGAGAAACTGAATGACACCTCTGGTTCCTGCCCGACAGAAGGCATTCTCTCCCTCCTGCCCTCTTGTCCAGAGATCAAGGATCTCCAGGGCAGGGGGTGGGTATGAATTGGGGTGGGGGGGCGCTTCTGATTTCTATTTTTTTCCCCTCTGCCCCTGCTTCCCCCCATTTTGGAGATTGTCTTAAGACCTACTCCCTCCCTCCTTATTTTTATAGGAAAAAAAAAAAAGGCAGGAAAAGAATCCATCTGGCATATGAATAATTGAAATGGCTCAACTCTGTTCCTGTTGCCGCTGTTTGTTCTCAGCTCCCCCGGCCCCCAGCCCATCCCCCTGAGTGCGGGTCTCTGAGCAGAGGATGTGTGGGCCTTCTTAGGAGCTTCTCGGCAGAGGCCCAGGGCCCTCCTTCATCTCCAGCCCTGGCTCCCTGTGAATCTGTAGGTCTGAGTCAGGGGGCGTTTGGAGATGTGATGGGTTTTCGTTCTCCTGCAGACATTCACACCCTGGCTAGAGTCTCCCCAGGTATCAGTCTAACTCGAGTCCTTCGGCCCTCAGACCTCACTGGACAGCTTCCCTGGATCCAGATTCCCACCCCCCCGCAGGGTTCCCCCTGGATTCTCTGGTTCCAAACTCCTCTTCCCCAGCCCCCACCCCTGTGTCCTTGGCTTCAGCAGCGTGGGGGCTCCTGTTTGGGGAACACTGACCTTTGAGGTGCTCACTGCATGCCCCTGCTAGCACTTCTCTAGGGGGCTGCTGCCAGCCCCAACCCACAGCCCGCACCCAAACATCTTGCTCAGAGATCTTCAAGTCCTCGCCCACCCTTTCCTCTTCTTCTCCCACCCTTCATCCTGCCTAGCCAAGGGCTTTGGAGTTCTTCACTCTGTATAACAGCCTTTGGGTCAGGGACCCTGAAAGCCAGAGACTTTTAAACTTCTTTTCATGGAGAGTAACGGAGAAAACACAGTGCTAGCAGGTTAGGGCCGGGGCAGGGATGGGACGATAATGCACTCTGCCTGGCTAGTATCGGCCACCCATTCCCTTCCCGGAGGCTGGACCAGCTGCACACTGAGCCCGCCGTGTCCGGACCGAAAATCCACTGTCTCTTTAAAACCATTTAGAGGAAAAACAAAAGAACTTTAGAGCATTAATTCTAGATGAAGATGGGTCTCCAGATGACAGGCTGATCCACATTATTCCCCATAAGACAACTTCCCCTCCCTCCTCCTCCCCCTCCCCCCTTCCTGCCCCCACTGCCCAGCACTCTGTCGTCATCCACAGCTTGTGGATGGAAGGCTGACACACGGGATGTGTGCTTCACGTTCGAAAAGTCAATACTTCTGTTTGCCTGCTCAGGACCTCATGTTTGTGTCATGTATGAGGTATTGACTTGTAGCCGTGGGTCCTGTGGTTGTAAAGTGCTGTGAGCAAGTGAGTGTGCACTGCCGAACTGCCCAGTGGCCATAGGGGGCAGAGGGAAGGACGTGCAAAGTGGTGCGGGGGTCTCTTTCCCCGGAGCTTTCTAGGTCAGGTACGTTAGGGCTCATAAAATGCCCCCTGCACAAAGAAAGTGTGAGCAGCACTGAAAACATTCTAGCTTTTCTGGATTTGTAAAAAAAAAAAAAAAACCTGCCGACTAAGCAAAAAACAATTCGGATGAAATTCAAATCAGGTTTGTTAATATATAACTATATATGTGTGTGTATATATATGTGTGTATATGTCATTTATAAAGACTCCTACACACGTTATAAAAGCTGCAAAATGTCTGGCGTTCCAGGGCCTGCTACGAATAATTAGATATTTATATCCAATAAAACTGGTTTGATGGGGAAATCGCTTGCCTCTGTGTGGATTCTCAGTTGAGGATGAGTTTCGGTGGTTGAGTTTGTTTTCTCCCCCGACAATAAAACCAGGAGTTTGGCACCAACAAATGTTATTTGCCGTAAATATCTAAATCTCTTTTTTCCACCGTGAGCTCTGCTCAACGGGCCCCATCATGCCAGCCCAGCACAGCTCCCCTCTCCTGCCTTTGCATTTTCGCTGGAGAAACGTGTATACAAAGCCCCCTCCATCACCCCAAGCCCTCCTGTCTGCCCTGTTCTCCACCCTCCACCCACTCCCAGCCTCAGGACCCACGCCAGCCAGTCTTCTGTCTTCTTGTCTTTGCTTTTTCCTTTGAGCACTCCCCTGCCATGGGGCTGCTCTCAGTCCTCAAGACCCAATCTAAGTACTTTTCTGATTTCATTAAGCACCTCCTATCCCCAGTTTTCAATTTCTCTCCCCACCTTCCTGAGCTCTGCCTGACCTCCTGGCCACTGCCGGCCGGGCCTCTAACACAGTGTGGGGCAGCCCTGGGGAGCCAGTCTGCCTCCCTGCCAGGCTGGGGAACACCCCCACCCCACCCCACCCCACCCTTCTCTTCCATCTGTTACACAGTCGGGAACAGATGGAGCCAGAAGGAGCCATAGATGGCTGTGCCCGCCCTCTCCCATTCTACGGATGGGGAGCTGAAGCCCCCAGTGGGGCATCGGGGGTTCCTCAGGCGCTGGGAGTGTGTGAACTGGGGCGGGAGGCACAGCCTCCGAACTTCCAGCTGGTTCTGGGAGCGAGGATGGCACACTGGCTTCACTCTGCCTCTCGCCAACAGTTTCTGTTGAACCTGGAGGCCTCACCTCTCTGAGCCTTGCTTCTCCGTATTTGTAACCTGGAATGGGTCGTTCTTGTCTATGTGGTCTCTGAGAAGAGTGACTGAGCAAACACGTGACCAGCTTTGGCCCTTCCCCGGGAGTTGGTGGTTGGCCTGTTCCCCTTGACTGTAAAACAGCTACTCACTGGGACCAAGCTACTCACAGGGCCAAGCCTGGCCCACGAAGGTGGCACCCGCTTGACCTTTGCCCCTTTCTCTCAGTGAGAGGCTGTCACCTTTCCGCAGGAACCTGGCTGGGCTCAGAGCACCTTGCAGTTTCCTGGAGGTCAGGCCCTGAGCCAGGAAGGAAAGGAACAGCAAAACTGTTGGCAAAACTCACGTGCTGGAGTACTGAGTTCTCATCAGGAACTGGAACGCCAGAAACAGGGCCTGGGGAAGGGAAGGGTGGACTGCAACGAGGTTCGGGGGCTGATGCCCTTGTTCTGACAGAGGCCCTTCAGATCCCAGATCTGAAATCTCCTGAAGGATGTTTGGATGGACAGAGTGGCCCAGAAGGCTGGGAGAAGGGGGAATGGGCCCAGTGGGAGTGAGGGGCACTCTGGGAAATGTCTGGTAGCCCAAGTGGAAGCAGTGAGTTTAATTACAGAGCAGCGAATGGAGTGAAAATAGACAGCCCTTCGTGTGCAGCTGGGGCTTCTGAGCTGGGCCACACCAGCCACGCCCCCCCTGCCCCACCTCCCCTCCCCTCTCCCTTCCCTCTCCCCCGTCCCCCCATGCCCTCCTGCCCTCCTGCATCCTCACCAAAGGCACTGCTGTCCCAAGTGGTCCAGGCCCCTGGGAGGATGTTCCCACCAGTGGCACACGCAGAATGGCACTGAAAGCTTTATCTGACCGACTCCAGAGAGCAGGAGTGACCACAAACACACCGGACCAGATTGCGGGCCCGCACAGCTCCCGCAGCTGTGGGTTTAACACACTTTACACTGAGGGGGATTGGTGCCCGGCCTGAAAATCGGGCACCCTTCAGAAGACTCTTGGGTGTCTTGTTTTGTTTTGTTTTTTTCTTTTTCTGTCCTTCTTTTCTCCACCCCTTCCAGATTAAAACAGAAAAGAAAAAGAAAAACTCAAGAGAAGCAGAGCCCGGGCTTCCTATGACTGTCTCTCAGAGAAGCCAGTCAAATCTCCCGTTGTTGAGAACATTTTGACAGCATAAAATTGCTGCCGGAATGTGACTTTAGCGAAAAGTAAAAAAAAAAAAAAAATCCTTCCTTCATGCATATGGAGTTTTTTGGAAAAAAAAATGGTATTTTAATGCTTTCTATTAAATTGGGACTAAAAGTGGTGTCTTAATTTGCATGCATTAGCATATTTGCATATAGATCACTGAAATGGTGGAAGAGAGAAGAGCCTTTAAATGAAAATTCTTTTAAAGGCACAGGCCTGCCTCCCTCTTCATCTCCCTCTGGGATTTATGCCTGATCTTCTCCCCTCACCTCGCACCCCACCTTTTGTGTCCTCACTGGGAATGGACAGGGACCAGAGAGTCAACGCTCTTGTCTCTGGAGCTGGCTCAGGGTGGAGTCAAGGGGCTGAAGACAGCCAGACCCTTGGTCACCCCACAACCCTGCAGCTCCCATGCGGGCAGGACCCGTGCAGGCCTGGCCGGCCTCCCTCCTGTCCTGGTGGTGGCTCTGGATGAGGGCCTGTATCCACAGCCAGCAGGCAGGTGGCCTCGAGCCCTTGGTCCTCTGCCAGCCATTGTCCTTCCTCCCCTCCTACCCCTCCCCAGCCCGTGCTGATGCTCTACCAGACTGCCAGCCACTGGCCTAAGCCTTCGGCCACCTGGCACCAAGGGAAGGGGTCTGTGGGTGCTCCTTCTGGTATCTTCTCCTGTGTCAACCAACTCCTGGGTCTGAGACCTCTCCCACCCACTTTCCCACCTTCCTTAACCAGAAGGCCCAGTTGCCATGTTCTCCTTTATCATTTACTTTATCTTTGGTTCAAATGTCACCTCCTCGGAGGTAGCTGCAGTCACCCTACCTGTCTCCTCTGTCACTCTCCATTAAGTCCCTTGTTTTATCATCCTCTGAACTCATTAGTTGTTTACTGAATTATTTGTCTGCCCTACCTCCTACCCCCATCTCACCCCCACCCCCACCGAGGCTAACCCTTATGAAGGCAGGAATCTGGGTCTGTCTCATTCACAGCTGTAACTCCGGGACAATGTCTGGCACACTGTGGAGTTTAGGAACTGTTTGTGGAATGAGTGTGGGGGAAGAGTTGGCAGCAGCACCCCAGTCAGGGCTGAGACTGCCCCTGGAGTCAGTGGCTGGCTGGACACAGTGCCCCCAGGTGCTGAGCCCTAGCCTGCTTGAGATGTCAGGGCACAAGGAGCAGGGGCCAGGAATTGGCTGGCACCTTCCAATCTGATCTGAGGCCCTAAGAGAGCACAGCAGCCCACTCTTATTCTTTTGGATTATAAATTGGGGCCAGGCTCAGGATGGCTCGGAAGGACAGGGGGTCAGGGTGGCCTGTGTGTAACTCCCAGCCCAGAGAAACAAGGGTCCCCTTGTGGTAGCCTCAGGAACCCAACTCTACAGCCAATGGAACTTCTCAGACACCCTTCTCCCAGATGTAAGGCATTGGAGGTGCCCCAGAAGTTTCAGGATGAGCGAAAGAGAGCCTCAGCTTTATATCACCATGTCGCCTTTGCTGGAGTCCTCAGGAAACCCCACCACCCTCTGTGCCGCAGAGGGGGGCCAGCCCGTGAAGAAAAGTCTGCCCATGGGGCCCCGTACCTCCTTGCTCTCCCACTCTGGTGGGTTGGGCTCTCTGAAAAGCCCCTCCAGGCTGACGGCTGCCTCGGGCTCCACGCCCAGCCCAAGGAGGGAGGGCAGAGGAGGGTGAGGGGGACGCCCAGGCTGGGAGCGGGGCTGTGCCTCCACCGCTAATGAAAATCGGAAACCAATTGAGCAGGACAAGGTGCCCAGCCAGCAGGTTGTGGGAACAAGGGGCCTAATGGATGTGGCTGGGGGGTGGGGGGGAGGAGGGGAGCGGATGCCTCATTGATCGCCCTGTGGCTATATTTATCCACCTTGGGTCCGTGGCCCCAGCAGCTGGGTGGTGCAGGGATAAATAAATGGCCACTAAAATATTCATGAGTTGTACATGCACATCCGTGGTCAGGGGGACCGCCAAGGGCCTTCTCTTCCTTCCTTTGCCCCATTTCTCTGCAGAAGCCTTTCAGGAAATTCCTCCCACCTGGGCCAGGTGAAGTGTGGCTCAGCCCTGCTGGGCACGCAGCTGGTTTGAGGACCCCGAGGGAGAGCCTCCTCCCCTGGGCTGGCTGACAGGGCACATTTGTCCCTGCCTTCCCTTTGTCCCCACCTTGGCTCCCATGCTCCCACATCCCTGCCCCTCAGTGATGGATTGGACATGTTTGGCCTTGCTTTTTGCTGGCCCCTCTGTGTCCCCACTAGGCTGTGTACTCCTCGGGAACAAGTTTATGGTTCACTGGTCCCTCGTTCCCACATGGCCTGGCAGGGTGCCTGACACAGCCCTGAGGGGGGCATTTCATGTGATGGGCAACACCTCGAAGGTGGCTTTAAATCTCAGCTCTGGTCTGTTTTCAAAAGTGATTTAACCTCACTAGGACTCAATTTCTTCATCTGCAAAATGGGGCTAATAACAGTGTTGCTGATGCTTCCTAATTGGGGGACTTAAGGGGACTGCCTGCCTCAGATTCCCTTGTGGAGCAGGTTGTTGTTCAGTCGCTCAGTCGTGTCCAACTCTTGGCAACCCCATGGACTGCAGCATGCCAGGCTTCCTTGTCCTTCACCATCTCCTGGAGTTTGCTCAAATTCATGTCCATTGAGTTGGTGATGCCATCCAACCATCTCAACCTCTGTCGCCCCCTCCTCCTTTTGCTTTCAATGTTTCCCAGCATCAGGGCCTTTTGCTCTTTGCATCAGGTGGCTAAAGCATTGGAGCTTCAGCATCAGTCTTTCCAATGAGTGGTGGAGCAGGTTAAGAATGTGGATTCTGGGTCCTTCCAAATCCAGAATCAGAACCTCTGAAGCAGGGGCCTGAGGACCTTATGGGTTTAATGAGCTTCTCCGGTGATTCATGCTCATGAAAATGTGTAACTCCTGGTGTATTGCCTCATGATACCTGTGTCCAGGTAGCAAACGGAGTTCTCCTCTGTGTTCTCCAGAACCCAAGAAACAAGGCCAGGCACAGGAGGAGATAAGCATGCTTCTTGAGCGTCTGTGGACCCGGTATTGTAGGAAAGCTGCCTGGCCTGACCAAGCTGAACTTGGTCCAGCAGTGCCAATGTCAGGGCCTAGAAGTGCTGCCCATCAGCGACAGGTGGGTGGGACCTGGGCATGGGCATTTGGGCTCCTTCCACTTTCCATAGTTCTTCCCAGGTAAAGAGCCTGCCTGCCAGTGCTAGAGGTGTAAGAGATGCAAGTTTGATCCCTGGGTTGGGAAGATCCCTTGGATGGCAACTCACTCCAGTATTCTAGCCAGGAGAATCCCATGGCCAGAGGAGCCTGGCGGGCTACAGTCTATAGGGTTGCTCACACAGAGTCGGACATGATTGAGGCGACTTAGCACGCATGCACCACTTTCCAGCCCTGGCCTCTTCGGTGTTCCCACGACTTGGGTAAAAGAGTGCCAGTCAGGCTCCCAGGGGACCCAGACATGGTGCTCTGTGGGATCTCCTCTGCCTTTGACTCTCAGCTGTTCTTCCCCATTCAAGGAGGGCAGGGTCACGCTGCCTCACCCTGAGGTATGAGCAAGTGGCGTGGGGTCGGGAGCATAGTTGACTGATGAGAGCTGGCCAGCCGGTAAAGCACTTTCTGCAGCCAGATGTGTCTGCTGCCACCCAAGGCCACAAGCTGCTGCCCCTGGCTGCCCGGGCACCTGCAAAGCACCCTGCCCACCTGGTGCAGCCCTGACCATGCGCATTTGCATGTCAGGTGGCATGGGGCCTGTCCCCTGGCAGATGCTGGTGACTCAGAAACCATTTGACCCCGTTTAACTGAAGAGAGCAGGGTTAAGCCGGCCATCTGTGGTGAATTCTCTGAGGGCTTGGGGCGCAGAAACTGGGAGTCAGTGGGGTCGGGCGAAGGTACAACCTCTGTCCCTGGCACTCAGCTGAGAGGCACCAACCAGCCCTGCTTCCTGCCTGGCTGCCCCCGCCCCCATCTGAAGTTTGATCCAAACAGAAGCAAACTTTGGGGACAGCCCTGGCGCTGCGAGGAGCCAGCTGAGCCTGCGAGTGGCAGGGAGAGCAGAGGGAGGCAGCCCCCGGCAGCCCTGGCGCCTGACTCCACCGGTCCCCCGTCCCCTCCAAGAGCTCCCCATACGCGCCCGCGCTTGCAGGCGCCTCGCTCGTCAGCTCAGAATGCAGCTTGGGACCCGTGGCGGCTCAACCTTTCCCTCTCCCAGAGCCCCGGTCTAATCAACCCCTATAATTTATGCAGAAAATATGATTTATATTTAATTTCACCACACTTGCATTGTTAATTTGAGATGTAATTAACCCGTCGCCATGACAACTAATTTTGTGATGCCGTAAATTACCGCCGTCTTTTCATCAAAATTCAGTTACTTTGGCTCCTGTGTGCAATGTACTGATGCAATTAGGTTGCTAAGGGCAACTCAAAAGTGTTCAATTTCTTTTGTGCAACTGCAATGGGGTAGAAGCTCCCTTGTGTCCTCCCAGGGTCCCGTTGGCCGCGGGGCGGGGAGTTGGGGGTATGTGGCCCGCCCTGGAGGAATGCCGTTGGAAAGCCGGACTGGGTGGGCGCCTGCTGCCCCCTCTTCTCCCTCTCCCACCCTCTTCTCTCCAGTAATTATTTTTCAAGAGTGACCCCTGGACACATGCTCTCCATGCCCCCCACGGGACCCCAGGGCAGGCAAAGGGACTCCCCTCCACGCCCCCAACCCTCTCTCTTACACTTTCCTGTCCCAAGCATGCTGGTGCTCCAGTTAGAAGAGAGAGAACCACCTCGCCTTTCTTGTCTCCTGGTGTCTAACTTGTTTATATAGATCTTCCCCTCTCCCTCTCTCTCTCTCTCCTTTTTTCTTTATTTAAAACAAAAACCCTCTGTGTTGCTTTTGTCACGTTAATTCCCATTTTGCCAACACCAGGGGCCCAGGCAGACGAGTTACCAAGGAACACAAAATTTTAATTAGTGTATTTTAATCATTCAGGCTTTCCGAGCTAATCCACATGCCCTAGAGAATTCCCGAGATGCAGCTCTGCCCTGCTTTACCATTTATTGTTGAGTCTATTATAATTACTGTTAGCAGGTGGGGACTGGGAGATGTTTATTATGAGTTTTTCATCTTTAGTATAATTACCGAAAAAAACAAAATAAAAAGATGTCGTTGTATTTTGTTTCCTAGAATTTTTTTTTTTTCCAGGGGAGGGCATGGCGGTGGGATTTTTTTTTTCTCCCCTGCTTCTTCCCAGGCAGGTGACTTGGAGTTTCTGGGCTGGAAGACAGTCCTGAAGATCAGCACTGAGTTGTGCTCAGTACCCCTCAGGCTCAGGAGAGGTGGGCAGTGCCACCTCCGCCTGTCACCTGCTAGACCAGTCTCTGGGGGTGTCCTTCCTCCACTTCCCTGTATATGTGGAAAGGGTTGGGGGCAGAGGCTGAGAGGGTCAGGGGTCTATCAGTCCTGCTCTGGGCTGGCAGCTCCCCCTGGTATGGGCTGGTCTGGGACTCTGACCAGGGTGGGCCCGTCAGGAGTGAGGACAGAGCTTTGCATGGTTATAAATACAAGTTAACTCAACCCTGAATATTTACTGGAAGGACTGATGCTGAAGCTGAAGCTCCAATACTTTGGCCACCTGAGGAGAAGAACCGACTCAGTGGAAAAGATACTGATGCTGGGAAAGATGGAGGGCAGGAGAAGGAGATGACAGAGGATGAGATGGTTGGATGGCATCATCGACTCAATGGATATGAATCTGAGCAAACTCTGGGAGATAGTAAAGGACAGAGAAGCCTGGTGTGCTGCAATTCATAGGGTTGCAAAGAGTTGGATATGACTTAGCAACTGATCAACAACTTGTATTGAGTTCTTAGTATGTGCTAAGCCCCATGTCGTACTCTTTACCTGCATTATTTTACTTAATCCCTCAGCAACCCTATGGGGCAGGTACTAATAACATCTCTGATTTATAGAGGAGGGGGCCATCACTTGGGATCACAGAGTTAAGCAGTAGGATTTAAACCCAAGTCTGTCCTCTGGAGCCCAGGCTCCTACTACCTACACGGTACTGTCTCCTTTTCCGGGTCCTCCAGATGTCACCTCCTCCCAAAAGCCTTCCCAGATTACTCAAGACTAAGTTAGGGTTTTCTTTCTGTTTTCCCACCCCTTCACAATCCATGTGTCTGTCCCACTGAGTTGTAGTTGTCCTGTTACTTCTGTAAGAACAGAGACCTGGGAGAGTGGAGGGCTTTCTGCCATTGTCCCTGAGGACCCCTAGCATGTAGTGCGGTGCCTGTACAAAGGCAGCTCTTGATGCAGTCTGTAGGGTGGAGTGGCCTGCAAGTGTGTCTGTTAGGGTACTGCCCCCCGACCCTCCACTCGGAGTGTCAGATCGTAGGGACTCAAGGTAGACATTCAGCAGGTTGAATGTCCAGAGATGTGCTCTTAGGTGTCATGCTCAGCAGAAGCCATAGGGCCTGGGGGTCCCTGAGCTTCAAGTCTCAAGAGGAGGGGATGACCTGGGGCCCCAGGTCAAGTTTGAGTGCTGTTCTGAGGACTCTGGAGATGAAAACACACAGCTTCAGCTTTCGCTTCCCTAGCCCCAGGGTCCTAGGCATAAGCCTGGTCTGCCGTTTCTTTTCTTCTCTTCAAGATAGTTTTCAAATGCCTTCTCCTCTCAGTGATGATTTTGAAGTTTTCCTGGAAAATTCCACATCT